CACGAACCCGTGTCCCCTGCATCGGCAGGCGAACTCTCAACCACTGTGCCACCAGGGAAGCCCAACCCTCCTTTATTTTTGTTCTTCATATTCTTGCAAAATGTTTTGAATTGGCAACCTAGAGTGGACCAAGGCATTATTTGCAGGTGATTTCTGTAGCACATCCCAGAAACACTGCATAAACATAGCTGAGTGGCAGTAAACAACAACCATAAGTACTGACTTAAAAATCAGTTACAGAAAAAGAAATTAGTTACAGAGTTACAACTGGCAGCTAAGTTAGAAAGCTATTGATATTTATAAAGCAGCTGAGGAGGCTGAGACACTCCTTGCTTAACTGCTGGGAGAAAGCTGTTTCTTCCGATCAGGAGCTGGAAAACTTTTTAAGACAAGCTTAAGCTGCTTCCTGTCCTTGGGATTGTAGACTTAACCTAGAAGTGCCTTTTCTTTGACTTTCTTCATCAGAGTTAGGTTTTCCTAACTTAGCCAGTGACCAACCAGAAGGTATGGTAGTTTTTGAGGCCCTTTTAAACATAGTTTACCTCTTCTCCTATTACTTAGAATTGGGAATGATAACATCTCTGGCAGATGACTGGAAAACTGCCTTATGTGTTCCTCTCATGTAAAATCATGTAAGCCCTACTCACCTAAAATCTGGTGAGTTGACTTTGTTTTGTAATATTCTTGGCTTTTTAAACCTTGCTTATAAATTAAGGCTTGCAGTTTCTGAGTCACTTGGAGATGGGGATGCCAAAACTCTTTAAACCCATTCCTTGTGAACTTTAGTTGAATGATATGGTTCCTTCCTTACACCCTGTCAACTTCAGTTTATTGTAGTCAGAATGAAAACGAGGATGCTAATGAGCAGAATATACTATACTAGTTAAGAGGTGGTTACTGTCTGTACTAGTAATTAGATTTGTGAGGGCTAAAAAGAAATGTGTGAATTTTAGAATAATTAGAGAAGGTGAAGACAAGACTCGAACCATGTGAAATGAAGAGAGAGAGAATTGAGAGGAAAATATGTATATATCTTCATCCATTCCTCTAGTGGAAAATACTCTTAAAGACTCTAATTCCAGCACAGCTACTAGTTTGTGTTACTTTAGGTAGGCAAGGTAAGCAAGTATTTAAATCTTTACAATGGAAATAACAAAGCATCCCTTGCCTTGTCACAAGGCTATTGTAATACAAAATCAAAAGACTAAGGATGTGAAAGAACTTTGTTATAAAGTATGAAGAAATCCCTATGTATAAAGATTTTGCCCCTCTTACAATCCAGTGCGAGTAACTGGTTAACACTTCTCAGTGGAAGAAGTTGGGCTTTATAAACATTCTGAAGAAGGTTTTGCAGATGTCCTTGAGTTTGAGGTGGTTTCATAGTACTGTATTGGAAAAGTGATAGAGGAATATAGTCTACTAAAATGAGGGAAAACTCACCAGTAAAATATGATACTAAGTAAAATTAATGATATCTAATATTTAATCGTGCTTTAAAGTTTGTAAAGTACTCTAAATATGTTGTCTTACAGTTTATATTGTTGTGAAAATTAATTACTGCTATCCCTGTTTTTAAAATGGCGAAATTGAAACTGAGTGGCTAATTAACATGCTTGAAGTCATAATGGTAAAATAGTGAATCTAGAATTTGGTTCTGGATCCTTTGGTTATTCTGATGTCACTTCATCCTGTTACAGTACAGTCCTAGCACATGGAAGTGGATTCAGCCATGCATGGGAGTGTTGGAAGGAGAGCCTAGAGCAGAATTTTAGCGATTGGTGGAATTAGCATCCCCATCATTACTGTTCGATGCATTTTGGAAATGAATAGCACTTAGGATAGACTGTCAAATAAGTGGAGTCAGAGAAGAGCTCTAATAGGGAGAAATGAACTTTAAAGGAATAGAAAGAACTAAAAACAGACGTTCCTTCTCCTCACTGGCCAATCCCAGTCATTCTGGAAGGTATCCAATATAGCAGGGTCCTCCTGGTCTAGCAGGACGCCGGCGGCACAGCAGGAAGTGAGTGGTGGAAGAGCAAGCAAAGCTTCATCTGCCGCTCCCCATCACTCGCATTACCGCCTGAACCATCCACCCCCCCACCCCCCCACCCCCGCCTTCAGTGGGAAAAATTGTCTTTTGGCAAGGATCGTAGCCTAAAAATAGTAGTCTTCAAAGTAGTAGCATTTTAGTTGGGTAGAAGGCTACTTGGGGAGCCTTTGTCACTGCAGCAAAAGGGAAATTGGTGTAAGGGTGGTATTGTAAATTGAAGGGAGAAAGGTGGTTAAATTTTCCCTGCTACTTGTCTGGACCATTTAAGATTTGTGTTACCTTACCATAACAAATCAAGTGAAAGATACATTCTTTCAAATTTGAGGAACTCTTCAGATATCCATCCACAGACAGAATGTGGATTTTGAAAATATATGTGATATTATCTGTCTACCTAAATATAGATACTTACATGAAAGAATCAACTGTTTTTCTTAGTCTTTTATTATTAGCGTTATTGAAGTTGGTACATAAAAGCAGAACTAAATTAAAACCCACTGTAAGTACTATGTACAATATATGTTGTGTTAAATTGATTGTTTCCAAATTCTGTAGCAGCAGAGATCTGTTTATCAAAATGTCTTGTATTGAGAAATACTTAAAGCCTATATTTAGGGGAAATAAATCCGTAACTAACTGTGTAGAATAAGTTGTGATCCTGTCAACTTTTAATAGAAGAGCTAATCGGTTGATGACTTTTAAACAGCTCAAATAACTTTATTTTAGAATTTAAATAAATGTACCAAATTCCTTCCCTATTCTCCTGCATAGTTCTGAAAAAGTGTTGTTTTCAGATCAACAAACAATTTTTAATGGCCAAAGCTTGGATTTTTAGATTCAAACTGGTGTTTTTTTCTTTAATATTATTGCATAATTTACATGGAATTTTTAAGTTAAAAAAAGTAATATCTTCAATTTTGACATCTTATAAAGCAGATTTTTATCTCAGAAGCTATTACGCCTTTCAAGAAAGTCATTTGTCATGAAAATTTCAGCTTTTTTTTCTTTTATGCTGAGAAATAGGCTAACATGGGTTATAGTGAATTTTATAAGAACAGTTGTATGGTTACGCAATGTGTGAGAATGGAGATCTTTTGGCTGAAATACTCCGAGTGATTATTTTTTCCTGTAGAAACTTAAAGGCTCAAGTTTAAACTTACTAGGAAAAATACTTTGGCTTTAGTTTATTGGGATTTGTTAATAATATATTGATTACTCACATTTTTCACTTAGCATTATTTCAAAATTTAAAGCCATGTAGGTGGGTTATTGTTTGGTGCTTACTATTTTTGGTTATATCTGTCATTACTGTTTACATCAGTTTGAAAAAAGGTTTTCAGAAATGGCATTCACTTTGTTACCCACTAGCTATGAGGGGTCTCTTGATGCCTACTTCATGAACTGTAGTAGATGGCTGGTACCATTTTGACTCACTGAAGGTGAACGTATTGCTTTGATTTAATTGTGAAATGTGTGAATAAATGAGATTTCCACTGTCTCTACTTAACTACATAAAACTAGAGGCTTTGCAGAATCAACAAGATTGCTGTTCAGCATAACTTTGGTTTGGTAAGGGTGAAGCACACATAGGTGATGTAGAATGAATGGAATGCCTCCGTACTTCCCTACTATGTGGAAGATGGTAATTAATCATGGTGGTCAGTTCCATAGGCCTCCAAGCCACTGGTGACACCCTACCATTGTTGCTGTTAATTTTTAGAAGTCTGTTTATGCAAGACTCCTGATTATCATGTATAAATAGCAACCTCCCCCAAGCACCTGCCCCATTCTTCTTAAGGCCTAACAAATCCTTAGCACTTCTCACCATCTGACATGTTTTTGTTCATTTGTTTATTGATTGTCTCTCCCACTAGTATATAAGCTTCATGATGGCAGGAACTTTGTCCACTATTGTATATTTCTAACTCGTCAGACTATTTGGCATATTATAGTATGCAGTGAGTATTGTAGAAGAAATGGGATTTCTGTTTGTTTGTACTGAAGTTTGCAAAGTTGTGGGAAGATGGAATATAAAGATTCTATTGTTCTAATTGCATTGGGGACATGAAATTTGTGCTTTCTGGGTGAGTAGACTTTGGCACAGAGGCTAACTGCAATGTGTTATTCCCTCTGTCTAGGCAGATTTAAACTCTTAAGAGAAGCCATTAAAATTCTTTTGGATTCCTACTTTTTAGACGTGGGGTTGGCTGTTACTGAATAACATTTACCTAGCTATGGGGAGGACTTTTTGTCTCTTATTCTCTCTTCTTCCCTCTGGATCTTAGAGTGGAGAAATGGACTTTTGTTTCACCTATAACTCTACAAGTATTTATACCATCATATCAACACATGTACAAGGAATCATGCCACATGTTGTGGAAGATAAAAGGAAACAAAAGATTCCTGAATTTATTTTAAAAAAGCAAAGAATGAATCTTGATCACTTAAAACAAAAATGGTGGGACAGTCAGGTTACAGTTAAGATTATGTTCCTGTTTTTTAAGCAGAAGATATTTTTGGACATAGAGGTGAAAATTTCTAGTATTTCCAATTCCCCAGAGAAGAAACTTGAGAATCATTTGCCTAGAGGTTTTTGTTGGGGATGAGAGGACAAAATAGAATGGTATAGCCCTCAGAGAAAGAAAAATGCAAAATATACTAGGAGTAGATGGTGATTGTCTATTAATTCCGTAGCTACATGTAGACTTTTATTAGGTCACTTATAACTAGAGTGACATATGGTTTATATTCCAAACTGGGTCACTTTCAAGAGTGAAAGTATATGCTATCTGAAGTATATGCTATCTGAATGGAACACTGGGACAACAGGTGTAAACCAGGACTGTTCCAGGAAAATCAGGGCACTGATCGCCCCTTACTAATAACATACTTTCCTACAGACTTAGTCCCAGTTCTTTGAACCTCTCCACATAATTTTTTTCTCCTTTAGAGAACTCTGATCTGCACTCATAGAATCTCAAGCTTTGGTTCCTTTTTCCTGGTCTCAGTGGAATGAAAAGAATTCGTTCCATATTTTCTGGAGCCCTGGACTGTTCTGGTTTACAGCATTGGTGGAGGTAAGTACAGAACTTGTAATGTATTGTTAGTTGACCTTTTATTTTGCTTAGGAAATCAGGTTTTGTGTGTTTCTGATCCAGTGTTCGATTGTTTTTGAGAATCCTGGTTATATCTCCTTAACTGGGCTGATGAACTATTACTAAGTTCCTAGAATGTAGTACAAAGAGAATTTGTAATTTTGGCATTTACTCTTAAATTACTCAATCTGTACTTTGTTTTCTTTTCTACAGGTGGGATTGTAATTCTGAAACTTCAGATCTTCAAAGAAGGGAAGGAGAATGCCTTGTGCTTGTACCATAGACATGTGATTTTTTTTTTTAAGTTGGAACACTGTAATGTTTTTATTTTGTTTAAATAAATTTAAATAAATTTTTTTATTCTTATATTAAGCGATGTGTTTTTATTCTATTAAGTAACTTTTTATTGTTACCTTACATTATCTGGTAAATTAAACATTAATACAGAAGTAATAGTTACCTCTGAAGTAGTGCTTACCAAAATGTGATTCTCCTCACTTCTAAGATCTTATTTGGAATCTGGGTTGGGACTAAACTTGTCTAGGTTTGGAAATTACGTGGAATCCTAAGCAGTCTCAAAATTAAGGGGTCTGTTTATAGGTAAGCTTGAACCCTTGTCTGTTCTTGCCAGTCCTGTTGTTTCTCTGTACAGTCTCCCATCTAGTGGTAGGAATGCAGAATACACCACAACACTGTGGAGAAAGCTTTAGGTTTTCAGACTTTTTCATATTAAGAATGCTTTTACATAGTAGGCTAAAACATTTTGGTAGTGGCGGGGGGTGGAAAACGACCATTTCACTTGAGAAAGAAGGTAGTGGCAGTGAATTCTGAGAGTATTCCAGGAGTATATGTTTCTCTGTGTAGTGCTTTCATGACTTAAACTTTCTTCTGCTCTTGTAAGACTTTTATGTATGACAGATTGCGATGATTAAATAATAATAGATAATTTTAAGAGACAGGTTGAGCTGATTTGAAGAAGATGCTTGGTGTGTGATTAAAATTTTACGGCAACTACGTGATGATTCCATTAACTAAAACAATTTATTTTGAACTTTTAAAATTAAAGTATGGATGACTCAGCAAACTTGGCTTGTGTTAATCTGTGACAGAAGAGCTAAATTTCAGTGAAATATTAATGTAGAGTACCTTAGGGTTGGCTTTGTTTACCTAGTTCCATCTGAATTCTTTCTTCTCTTAGGAATTCCCTTTTTTTTTTTTTTTTTTTTTTTGCGGTACGTGGGCCTCTCACTGTTGTGGCCTCTCCCGTTGCGGAGCACAGGCTCTGGACGCGCAGGCTCAGCGGCCATGGCTCACGGGCCCAGCCGCTTCGCGGCATGTGGGATCTTCCCGGACCAGGGCACGAACCCGCGTCCCCTGCATCGGCAGGCGGACTCTCAACCACTGCGCCACCAGGGAAGCCCAGGAATTCCCTTTTTAGTTCTTCTTCTTTCTTCTGCTACAGATGTAAAGGAGGTCAATCCTTTCTCTTCTATTGGTTTTTAAAGTGTTCTGAAGGCACTGAACACTTTCTAAATCTGTTGTTTTAATTCCTCTTACTAAAAAAATTGATTTCTTTTGGTGGCCTCCATAAGCACCTGAAATTAGCACTGATGGAGGTGTTTTCAGGTTAATATCTTCTTCAAAAAAACTTTGTTTAAAATAAACAAAACCAGGTAATGAGAGAATTTGTGAAGATTTATAGCAGCTTTTCTGTTGAATAGTTTCTAAGGGGGAAAAAAACCTCTCCTTTTACATGGTGATTAAAAAAAAACAGTTAAAGAAAAACTTACCGCTCAATAACCAGGTTAAAAATAACTATACTATCATACTATTAATATAACTACTAATATATGATTATCAAATTGTAGAGTTATCTTTACATTTCTTAGTTTTCACGTGTGAATTCTTAGTCCATTCATTTTGCAGAAAACCCGGTGACAGAAATAGCATATCTAGTTGTGCTAACAGATTGATTTTTCCTACAGCTGCAACTTGTTTCTTTTTAGTAAGATGGGAGTTTGCCTTACTTTCTTTATGGGTTCTGGAGATTCCTCAAGACTCACTTGCCATGGTGAGAGATTGAGCTTGTATTCAAAATATTGGCCTACCTCTGCAAGAGTGGCTGCCGAATTTCCAGCTGTTACACCATGCAACGCTTGTACTTTTACCACCTCTTCCTCATATTCTTGAGGAAATAAAGGGACATGTCAGTGCTGTCCTTTCAACCATTGATCATAATATGCTCCAAAGGGTCTGGAATGAATTACAGTACAGGATTGGTGTTGGCTGTGTGACATGAGAGGTGCTTACTGAAATTTGTGAAATTATGGAAATAACAGTGATATAGTTCTGTTACATATTGGTTTTAACTACATGTTCATATATAACTTAATTGCTGAGTAATTTTGAAAGTGTTCAGTTCTTTTTGCATCATCCCATATTTGGGCAAATACACTATATATCAGAAAATATAGTATATCTATGATTTTAAAAAATGGAATCTTACTCTGCATTGTTCTTTAACATTTTTTTTTTTTAATAAATCTATCTATTTATTTATTTATTTTTGGCCACGTTGGGTCTTTGTTACTGTGCACGGGCTTTCTCTAGTTGAGGCAAGTTGTGGCTACACTTTGTTGCGGTGCGCGGGCTTCTCCTTGCGGTGGCTTCTCTTGTTGCAGAGCACAGGCTCTAGGCGCGGGGTCTTCAGTAGTTGTGGCATGCGGGCTTAGTTGATCTGCAGCATGTGGGATCTTCCTGGGCCAGGGCTCGAACCCGTGTCCCCTGCATTGGCAGGCGGATTCTTAACCACTGTGCCACCAGGGAAGTCCCTTTAACATGGTTTTGATATAATATACTGTGAGCGTTTTCCCCACTCAGCTTTTCTTGCCATGTATTTGTTGGCCTCATAGTATTTCACTGTCAGACTGCTGCCATTTAATGAGCTATTGCTCCATTATTGGACGTGCCCACCCACATTGTGATTTAGGTATCCTAGCGTCATAGTACTTTTATCAAAGCCTTTTAGATACCTTTGTCATTTCTTTTTAGTACTTTGGATGCTCCTTTCTCTCCTCTTTTCAAATTAATTCAATCCTTATTACTTGTACTGAGCATTCTATATTTTGTGTCTTTCCCTAGTTTTAATTTTAACATCCAACTAAAATGTTGGTTAGATTTATTCCTTAAGGTATAAATCAGTCTGTGAAGACTGTATTTTTGAGTGAATTCTAATGGAAGTTATGTTAAAGTGTAACATGTTTCTCACAGAGGATCCCACAAACTTTAAAGATAAAATTATAACAGTTACATCTTAATTTGGACCATGTTTTGTGACCCCTTACACAAAAAATTGAATGGAGTAAGGTATAAGACTGTTCATTTTGTTTCCCAGACATCTTTTGGCTGAGGTCTGATTTCAGCTTGCATGTTTTCTAAATACTTTCACACTTTTGCTAAGTGAAAAAAATTGTGCCAATACTTTATAGCAAAAGTTCAGAAACTGTTTTCTTTATCCTCTAGTTACTGGATATTTGGTGAATATTTTTTCTTTTTATTTGTACTCCTACCCAGGAAAAATTTCAGAGATCTGATCAGTGAAGGAACATTTGATGAACCACTTAATTTGCCTTCCAAACTGAGTGTCTCCAGTTTTCTGGATGGTTGACGAAATCAGTCTTATGTTACTAAAATCACTTATGAAAGCAGTTGCAAAAAGAGTATCTTTCGAAGTGACCCTTTTGAAAGAGACAATGATATGTGGCTAAATGATTTTATATATATATATATATATAATTTTTTTTATCTTAAAGACAAGTTTTAGGCAAGCTCATTTATTAGAAAATCTACCTGGGTGTCAGCATAGTTTTGATATAGCCTAGAGAGTGCCTGTTTAGATGGGAACTTGAGGCCTCTACATTCTGCTAATGGTGCATGCCACTGGCTGGATTGCCTGACTTGCTGTGGAAGTCAGCCCCAAGTCCTGTAAGTTTCTAAAGTTGGTGAACTTTGCCTGGGGAGGTCTATACAGATGTGTGGCACGTTCTATGAATACGGCTGTAAGATTAATGAAACCATCTGGTAACTAGTTACTTGCGAAGTTTTGTACTTTGCTGAACATTTTCCCTTGAATACAAAATTTTTTTTTTGCATTTCACTACTTTTTCTGTTTTTTTGTTTTTAGTTAGCTAGAAATTTAGAACTTGCATTAAATTGGCTGGTTGGGTATTCACTTCGTATATGTTTCCAAGCACCCTTATCTTTTACAAAAATTTAATTCTATTAATAAATCTGTTATATTTAGTAGTGAGCTCCTGTGACCTTACCTATGGGTAAGCACCTAACCTGTGTTAATACAATTAACATTTATTTTATCTACCCCAGACCTTGTTTGTTGGAGAGGCATATTAAATAATAAAAGTGAGAACATTTTTTTAATATAGTAGGGATTGATTCTTTCTGCTGTCTCTGTATGGAAAAATGCTCTTCATTTCCATAGTGGGCCTGTTTTCTCCCTGCCCTTAAATACTAGAAATCCTCATGAATTCTCACCTACCTAAAGCAGAGAATCTATATGCCATATAGTAGTTACTTTTTGAGTGTAGGGTTTAGGATTTGTTACTAATGTAATATTAAAGAAGGTTTTACAGTTTTTAATATTCTTAAGGTAAATAGCTAAAAAAAAAAATATGAGTTTCTAGTTTGGAAGCCTTTTGATTGGTAAAGGAGGTTTAATACCAAGTTTGTGCTTTTTAAGAAATGAAATCTGGATTGAGAATGAGAAAAGCAGTAGCTATCAAGATTTCCATGATGTGCTTGACTTTTGTTTGAAACAATTTGCTTTTGGTTAGTCAGAGGTGGGGAAAACATCTTCCTTCCTGAGTTGTTGGAGGTCAGATTTAAAAGCATTTTCAGGTTACTACTATAGTAGAAACATTGTTCAGAGGAAAAGTTACCCCTGGAGAAAATGACTGGTTGAGTTAAAGTACTATGGGGAAGTGTGTTCTGCAGAGTTTGTATAACCCGTGCAGTATTTTTTCTCCCAGTAATGTTTGTATATCTTTGGTTTTGCTTTTGGTCTACTCTGAATTCATGCATGAACTCATCTCATTTTTCCTGTTTTATGTGAAGTGTTACATTTTAGTTTCTGGAGTTTTCCTTCAGTTTTTATGTGGTCATTTCTAAAGCATACTATATAGTTTTCATAGCATTACAATAAACCATTATTTGTTAGATCCTCTTTAACTTGAAATTGAAAATTTTCACATGCGATGGGCTCAGGTTTGTTTTTCAACTTTTTGGGAACAGCAGGTTGTGCAGAGAGTTGTGGATCGTTGGTTTAGTCTACGTAAAAAAAAACCATTTTG